TGCTGGCTAGGCGTGTATCCCGAAGGGATTAAACTCGACTAAGCGGAAGCTTTTTCATGGAGTGCCGTATGCCCACGAAGTCCGGGCAGCAAGTCCAGCAAGCATTAGAGGTTGATGGGTGGTCCAACCGCACCATCAACGAAAGTAAAGCGATGCATATGCGTAGCACAAAAAGCGAACAGAGCAAGCGGAAAGTATCGATGCAACGACAACTTAAGCATTTGCATCTGAGTGTGGCGCACAGAGCATGCAAGAAAGCTGCAGCTTTTAGCTGTCGTGTACGGAAGCTGGGCGATGAAGCCCAGAGACCAGCCCGAAGAAAGCAGCATGCCTAGAATGTGACAGGAGAGGGCCTGAGGGCGTAAAATGGTTGGGATTCAGGCTGGTGTGAGACGCACGGTGAAGCACTGCACTCTAGATACGGCTGCCCCGAAGCCGGAACTTTTGACTTTCTTGTTACGGGGATCTTGAAGCGTTCTTGTAGCCAATGCCGGTGAGACCGAAAGGTGTGAAATGGGCGGGAGGGTGAGGATTTTCAAGAAAGATGCCTAGCCAGCACAACTGAGCCAAATGTTCGCACGAACATAAAGTAGTAAAACAGATGTGAACAAGTACACTAACCGTTCTACTACTTTAGTTGTGCTGGCTAGGCGTGTATCCCGAAGGGATTAAACTCGACTAAGCGGAAGCTTTTTCATGGAGTGCCGTATGCCCACGAAGTCCGGGCAGCAAGTCCAGCAAGCATTAGAGGTTGATGGGTGGTCCAACCGCACCAATTTAGAACTACCCAGCAACCTCGCTAAGAAAAACACCCCGAATTTATGTGAGGTTGGTGGGCACTCCATGCGAACGAATTTGCCACGGAAGCTGCACAGACGAAGGTGAGACACTGATCATTGGCCGCGGTAGCCAAAGATCCTGAAGCGTAGCGGAAATGCGCTCGTGCTGCAAACAATCGTGAGGCAATGGATGCTCATGTGGTCTAGACAGAGCATCTGCTTTATCATTTGCTTCACCCGGTATGTGCGATACGTCAGGGGTGACTCGATGCACCGCTGCAAGAAGTGAAATTCGCTCCAAGAAAAAGCACAAGGGCTGACTGGTTGTCAAGGAGTCATTAACACCTGATTCCGCACCCGTGTTATCTGAAAGAGCTCTGAGTGTGATTGGGATGCAACTGCATGGAAGCAAGGCAGATGCCGCCAATATCAGCGCTGCCTGTGCGAGAGCTTCATAACACGAAATCTCCCTTGCCATATCAGCTTGAACCCCAATGCCCAAAGCTAGGAAATCAGCGTGAGCAAAGGTTTGTTGAAACCAGCGATGACCTAAGCATCTGCACGTGCATCAAATAGAGGAGTGGCAGGCTGCCGCATCGAGCGGAACGGTGACATATGCAACAGCCAATGCTCGAAGATGCCAAGAATGCGCAGCGAGTTCAAGCACAATTTTCGCTTCTTGCTGTTCTGACTAGAAACCCGAAGCCAAAGCCTACGTTCAGAAACCCGAACTGTCTCAAGATCCTGAAGGGAGTGCAAGGCTTGGTGACGTGCCGAAAGCAGTTTGGAGCCGGGAGGTATACCCGTACCTGGCGGCGTGACTGTGAAAAGCAGATCCGGCGACAAGTATCTAGCGATTTCATGCCAGCGCTCTGGCGGAATGCTGTAGTTCGTAGCAGCTGGGCTGTAGAGATCGTGATAAAAAGTATGCAGCATGCTCTTCATGACCGGAAAAAGGCTTGTAGCCCACAGCGCTAAGCCAATGAAGCGTTCCAAATCCTTTTTCGTCAAGCGAGGGTTTTTACGCAAATCTTGCACCATGCCCAGCAGTTTCAAGCGTTTTGATTCTTTAAGCAACACAATACCGGCAGAGTACTGAAAGTCCCAACCTATCCAAGTGACCCGAACAGAAATCTGCAGTTTGTGCCAGGAAAGAGGCACACCCATGATCTGCATGAACATGCAAATCATGGCACTCGTTGCTGGAAGAATGGACATCGCCTGAGAAAAGAGATAGTCATCTACAAACAAATGGCCTGTGTGGGCTATGTAGATGAGAATATGAAGAATGCGAAGGATGCATGAGCCGAGTCGCCCCCACCAGTGCTGGGCAAACGTGGCTCCGAATGGGCATGTGCGATAGAAATAGAGGGCATTTGACCCGTCTGGTTCCTCACATGTGAACCCAAGCAGTCCTTGTTCCGCATCTTTGACAAAGCAGCGCTTATGAGCGCTTTTGATGTCAATCGAAAGTGCCCCCTGAATCTGCGAGCATTCACGCAGGGGATAGGAATGCAAGACGTCTCGAGCTGAAGGCATGTGCTGCTTCTCAGGCACGGTGCAATTCGCGTTTGTGCCACAAACCGAATTATCAAGACAAAGCCTTTCTGATCTACCAGGAGCCCTAACAACCGAAAGTTTGCCAAGCGCAACCCCTAGGGGCCAGCGTCGCTGGGCATCGGCCAACGATCCGTTGAATTTGAAGCAAAAACCTTGATCGAGTTCTTCTTGAAGCAGTCTGCGAGTAACAGAGGGATCCACTGTAGCGGAGCGCCAATTCTGCAAGTGAATCGAAAGTGGTATGTCATCTAAAGATTCACGAGTGTTAGGCCAAAAATTGTGTGAAGGCGGGATATCCGACTGAAAGCCTGTTGGAACGCCTGCTTTCAAAGCTGGGAACAAAGTTGTATCAGCGTCGCAGCATGTTTGAGCAACAGCTGCCAAGGCATTCAAAAAGAGAGGCTGATGTTCCCGCTGTAACCAAGCATCGGCCGGAGCCGCAACGCCTAATGCCGAGAAGAACCCTGCCCTAACCGAAGCAACCTCTGAAGCTGAGAAAAGCGGTTCTTTGCTGGGCTCATAGCGACGCTGAAGCAGGCGGGAGGGGCCGTTCATGGATGCAGTGGCCTTAAGCAAGAAAGAGCGCAAGTTACGCAACAGATCTGGCGTGCGGGGAGCGCTCCAATCAGCGTGCGAATGACGACCCGCCCCATCATGAACTGCATATGGTAGCTGATCCATGGGCTTACGTGGCACCAGTGTGAGGGCCTCGCGCAATTGCAGTGCAGGGCCTGGTTTGTCCAAGAGAACTTGAATCTGAGCAGCAAAAGTGGTTGCAAGCGCCTCTGGATACTGAGCTGTAAACCTGCTTCTGAACACGCCCGAGCTGTCCAGACCGCGCATGACTTGATGTGAATCACGCCCATGCTCGCAAACACAGCCCATGTTCCGTAATGGCGCATAGCTGGAAGAAAACAACCAGGATTTTGCCCAAGGCAGGCCATAGCCGCACGCAGCCACCCAGACCAGAGAGGCTGAGCATTCATGAATCCAGGACTGTAGGCAACTTTCTTCCCAGGACATTGCTCCTGGAGGTTGTTCAACATGACCGTGTCCACCTGCTGAATAGACTATGGAGACACATTTGCAGCAGCGAGACAGGATTTCATGGCTTTCCTGGAGCTTAGCTAGGTCCGAAGGACCCAAGCCAGGTACCCCATCCAGGTATTCCGGTGTGCGAAGCGGGAAAGGTGGCCCACCTGAAAGCTTCAAACGCGAGTAATGCGAGCAACTTGGAGATGCTGCGCAGTAGCCCACAGCGCCTGAACCGCAAATGAACAGAAGCTGCTCGAAGAATTCATCTTGCAGCAAGTCAAAAGCTGGGTCCAAAAGAATGTCAATAGAAAGCGTAGCAAGACCACACGCTTCCACAGCGCATGAAAGTGGCTTGTGCACCCCCGAGCATAAGTCGAGGAAAAAGCGCTGAGGGATGTTCGCTAGAGCATCCAGTGCATGCGAGGAACTCTTTGGGGGCGGGACCGGCAGTGGAGGTCTTAGGGAGTGGTGCCTAAACCCGAAAGCCGAAGGTTGACCCCAATTAACAGAAGACCCTGAAGCAGTTGGTTGTGGCTCGGCCCGCTGCAACATCGGCGGGCGCTCAGAAGGCACCTGGGGCGGGGATGCAATGGAAGGGAAATTGAGCGGGCCAAGAAGGGCATTTTCACAGTTTGCCATAGTGAAGGCTGTCAGGACCCAACGTTCCCCACAGAAGGGTTCTGTCATATGCCAGGAATGAGCCGGAAACTTGATTGGGTTTTCTTTCGTGCTAATGATTTTCCCCTTAAGCGAGGTGTTAAGCATTGGTATGAAGCGCGACTGGTCGCCTGATGCATCGTCAATCCAAAGCGAACCCCCAGAGAAGGAACCCAAGCTAACCGAAAGATTGAAAGATCCCGGCACATTAGCAGTATCTCTATGAGCAGAAGTGACCACATTCTTGGCCACGCACAGCGCATTCCAGGAATCTGCTGGGAACTGTAAGCGCAGAAAATTATTGAGGGCTTTGCACACAGACGGCAGAGCTCGAGACACACGAGTGAGTGCCGAACGATCGCTGACCTGACAACCAAAGTTCCAGTAGCCTGATGATACAGAATTTGCCGAAACAACCGGGCGAGACTGCGAGCCTGGCGGTGGCCAAGAAGCTGACTGAAGTAGCGCTAGGCATGAAGCGTAATCATGAACATGAACTTCAGAAGCAGAGGCTACTGATGTGGTCGAGGTTTGCAATGCACTGCTGTGTGTACTGTGAAGCGAAGCTGAACCATGACGCATGCCCGCAAGATGCGGAGCATTTGGAGCAACATGCTCCGATGCTATGCCCGACCCGGGCACCACGCCAGGAAAAGATTCCCTGCAAGAAGCACCTCCGAACTCCGGAGCAGAAGCGGTAACGCATGGTGATGAAAGCGAAGCTGAGTGTTGTGTTGCCAAAATGGCTGGTGAAAGCTGTTCCCTGCACGGGGAAGCAAAAGCAGGTCGAGAACTCGCAGGTGTCGCATGAACACGTAGCGGGTCCTGACCCGAAGACTGTAGGACAGTAGAAGCACAAGAATTCGAAGCTGGCAAGTGTGATGAAAAATGTTGCAGCTGATCTGAGGCGGCCGGTCCTAGGAAGCCAGCCGGCCTGGAGGCCGGTGAAACTAGCACATTTTGGGATTGTCAGTGCGAAGTCGAAGCGTGGTTGAGGGCATTGTGGGCCTTGCTCATGCAGGCGGAGCCATCACCCTTCGGGTACGCACAGTTGTGCAAGAATGCACAGCTCGCACCCCTGCTGCATTTCCCGGATTGCCACTGCATGCACAATTGTTTGGTCTCGCCATTGACCTGAACATGCTTCACCCAGGAGCCCGCACCCCCTTTGCCCGAGGGTTTGCCTTTGGAACCTTTTTCCTTGCCGGGGCTTTTGCCTTTGCCTTCAAAGCTGTAGCCCTTCCAATGTTCCGACATGAAGCGACCAAGCCCTTTGCCCTTGATGCCTTTCTCATTGAAGCGCTGGGGCGGAGGGGGCCTAGCCCTTGCCTGAAGCAAATTTGACATGTCACCCCTGATTTCGGTATACTCGAAGATTGCATCGTTCAAGTTCCAATCCTTCTCAAGAACCAGAGCGTAAATCCCCTGCCACAATTTGCAATCAGCCTGCTGGGCCTCTAGAATTGTGGGAGCTCGCAAGCCTGATGAAGCTTCGTGGCGCTGAGACAAAAGATGTATGAACTTGCTACTATAAGCTTTCAGGCGAGCCAGGTGACAAGAGCCTACCATGGCCAGTGCAACATCGTGGATTGCTAAGATCCTTTGCACTGCACTGACCCCCATGAAGTTATCGCCCACCTCCAACGTGGGAGGCTCATCAAGAAGCAAACTGGAAATGCCGAGCGCTTCCAAACGCGGCTGTTTGGCTGGCCTACTCAATTGAAGCTCGGCCGCTTTCTCTTCTGACATGCGATGCTTCCAGGGAATCCACTTGTAGTCTTTCTTACTTTCTTGATGAGCAGCTAGAGATACCAGACGAAGCGAAGGCATTGAGCATGGAGACAATATCTCGCTCGTGTATGCAGCAAGAAAGGCTTTCTTGTACTCCGTAAGCTTCAAAGCTGTGATTTTTGGCGCGAAGGTTTCTACCCAAGAACTAGTCTCTGAAGCTGATGTGGGAACTGCAGGCGGGGCCGAAGATGCGCTGCTCGACAACCCAGCCCACGCTGCTCGAGCTTGCGCAATCTGAAGACGGGAAAGCTCTGAAGATCCAAATATGTCTGGAATCACTTTCTCAAGATCAGCTGGGGAATCCGCCGCATGGCGGAAGGTGGACAGAGTCCACCCCGCATCGGTTGCCACCTTGATGAGAGCTTCCGAGAGGCCTTCAGCTTTAAGAATATCACTCAGGGACATGGCGCGAGACTACCCCCTAGGCTAGAGAGCCCTAGAAACCGAGGGAACCCGAGCCGAAACTACAGGGACGCGCGAGGCCTAGGCCCAGAGCGTGAAACAAGTACGCATATTCAGCAGTTTGTGGCCGGGTCGGCTAGTAGCCCTGCGACCGACCGCAGCCCAGGATAATGGTAACGCATAAGTGCAGCCCAAAATGCTTTCTGAAGCCAAGAAGAGCAAGCAACAATGGGCATATTCATCAGCGTGACCCGAAGTCCGACAGCCCACGGCTGAGGCCCTGACCAGAGCCAAAGACGGAGCACAACCAGAGAAGCCCAACGCAACTGAAAACCCTGGAGTAGCAAAGCGGTTGCAACCTGCCCCCAATGACATTTTTTCAACCGCTCACCTGCAAGGCAGCCGATACTACTGATACAGCGGAATTCTGAGACGGTGCCAAAAGTAATCTGATGTTTGCAACAGCTGCCGCCACGACCAGCTGGAGAGATATTGAAGCACACGCGCTGATTCCCGTATTGATTGTACCAGATAAAACCACTCTGCAAAATGGAACCGAACAAAGCGAGATGCGTAGGGAAGCCGCACCAGCCTGAGGAGTTGGGCCCGTCGATCAGCGGTGGTTTCCTGCAGTTCCATGCGATTGCAGAGCTAACCTGAGCGTCACGAGAAGCAGGAATGGTTTGAGCCAAACAACTACTTCGTAACAAATGCGAACCAAAGGACTGAAGCAGACGCACAAGCAGACGCAACTCGAGCAAGCTTATGTTTTAGCACCTGCGCAAAATGCGACTCACTGCTGAAGCTGGCCATATGCAATGCAGCAGGCCTTACGCTTGCAAAGCTGAAGCTGAGGATTGAAAACCGAAGAGATGCGAATGTGATCAGCCGGAAGCGAAACTCCACATGCTGGCCTGACAAATGCACCATCATAAGGAATACCTTTCGATGCAGAAGCACGAACCAACACATGCTGGATGTTCGTCAATGAACCGAAGAGAAACTCATCCGCAGGCCCAAGCAGTGGCCCTTCATCCGCCGAGCTGTCGCCCGACTCCTCATCGGAAGACTGGATGTCCCGTAACTGAAAAGCTGGCACTTGCTTCTGCTGATCCTCCGGGAAATTTTCCTTGGAGGGAAGATCTACAAAAGGAAGTCTATTGCCAGAGCGAAGCGAGAAATGCCGAAAATAATGCCAGCTGCAGGGCCCAACCTCCTTGCTGAAGTTTTCCAACTGGACGTCCGGTTCATCCATAGGAGATTGCGCTCCCCTATGTAAGGGGATCATGAAGCGAGCGCCCGAGCGGACAGCATGCTGGATCTTCATCTGTGCCCTAAGGGATGGGACAATATCATCCCTGCTATAAAGTTGGCTCGAAGAGAGCCGATGATGGCCTTGACAGGACTTCTCAAGCTGGGATACCTCCGGGCGCTGGCCAGACCATGATAGCATTGTAGTTTTGAGCGAATGTATTGTATAATTTAGCGTCGGTGAAGTTACTGAAGACGGCCTGCTACTTTTCCAAGGTAGAGTAATCACGTGACGCAGATGGCGAAGCGCAGCAGCGTAGCTCATCGGTTGCAAGGGTAAAAGTGTATTGCCTGAACTGTCCAGCGAGAGCAAGAGGCTCGAAGGCAAGGGAACCCCAGCATGGAGGGTAAGATGCTGATGTACTGCATTGTCCAGCGCCTGCAGAAAACGGTGGCACCACGAGTGATTGCCGTAACTCAAGAATCCATGGCACAGCAACCCGAATGGTTGACCAAAGCTGGTTGTCTTTGTTTGGAAACAGCTCCCGCGCAATGATTGCCCATCGTAAGCCAAGGAAGTGAGCTTAACCCTTTGGCCATCCATAAATCTCAGAGATGCCCAGATAAGCACCAGGAAAGATCCCAGCAGAAGGATCTCGGGATCGGTCGCCTCTCGGGAGAGAATCCTTCTTTCAATCTGGATGACCACATAGAGTAGAGTGATAGTGGCACTGCTTCCTTTCTTTCGCGGGGAAGCTTGCTCTTAAGAAAACTGGCAATGATTTGCGAGTGGCTCACTGAGAGACATGCCACCTCAAGCATTTTGTAAACCCAACGAACAGCTTTGATCGCAGTAGAAGAGTGAGAACCAGCTTCAGGATCAGAACCACGAGCCAAACTCATCACAACCAATACATAAGCCATTTGAAATGAAGTGAGAGATTCAAGTGGAATTTGCATATCGCGCAAAGTGGCCAAGAATTGCTTGAACGCAGAGCAATAACGAATCACTGTCGATGCCACGCAAAGAGAGAGCAAGCGAGGCAAGTGATCTTGCTTGCTCCCTGCAAGGCCCTGGCCTATGACACTCAGGGACCCCAGCGACAAGATGATTGTTAAGAAGGCTTGTCTAGCAAGCGGAGACTGCGAAGCATTCACACTGATGCCAGCTTGGGAGCGTTGCTTTTCGGAAGGGGCAGGGCCTATCCTAGAACCCGAAGACTTAAAGGCGGCAGCGGCTTTCTGAAGATCATCAAGCTCTGAAGAGGAAGCCAAACCTAAACCCAAGGGGACCCCAAGAGAAGACCCAGGCAGGTTATTCAAGGCTGAGGCCGGCAGAGCATCAGGCTCCCGACTTGTCGGAGGCTCAGGAAGTTCCAGGCCTTTGGCGAGCAAGGGCGGGGCTAGAGTTCTGGGCTGAGGTGTTGGGGCCGGCAAGGCGGCGCTTGAAGCGGGCAATTTCGGGAAAGTGTACTTTGAAGTGAGGTCAGGATCAGCGGGTCGCTTCATGCTCACAAGCCTGCCGTCTCAAGAGCTGCCACTCTAGCACGCAAGCTATTGATCTCGTCTCTGGATTCTTCAAGCGCCCGCAAAAGCAACAAGCTGCAGCGATTCAGGCGAGTGATTTCACGCTCACAGCGGCTCACACGCAAGAGTGCACGTTCTATTCTTGCAAGACGCCTACCGAACTGATTCAGCCACCGACAGAGCAAAGCTGATGACCAACGCTCTGCACAGAAAGGGCATCCACTGTGGACGCTAGCTCCGCACTTGAAGCCATGGGCCCACTCTTGGGGCAGAAGCTCCCCCCGGGCGAGAGGATACTACAAAAGAAGAATGTGTAAAAATTGTTTGCAAGATGTGAAGTTCAAGCAGCCAAACATGTGGTAAAAAGATGTCCGCAACATGAAAGTAAAAGCAAAGCATGTCATGTCATTTTTTCAAGAAAGATGCCTAGCCAGCACAACTGAGCCAAATGTTCGCACGAACATAAAGTAGTAAAACAGATGTGAACAAGTACACTAACCGGGCAGGTACAGTGGGCGCAAATGACCATACCGTATCGTCCGGGGCAGGCATGCCAGCGCCGGAAGAGGCCTGTAGATCCTGCGTGTCAAGGCACAGATCCTGCAAGTCAGCAACCTCGAACAGCGCAGTCGGGGCCGCATCGTGATCCGACAAGATGATATGTTTGCCCGGGAGCAAGGCAGCAAGGCTTTAAGCACCCATAGCGCGTAGACCTTGCCCCACCAAACCGGAGCGGGAAGAAGACACAGGCGTGCCGTTCGTCATGCCGGCCAGTCCAGCAACATCGGTTAAGAATGTGGGACAGAGTGTAACGGGTGTGGTCATACTCTTCCAAGGAGTCTGTGTCCGTGAAGAGCCACAGGGTGTGACAATGCACGACAGCGGGGTCCGTACAGAGCCACACAGCGTATCGGGTAAGCAGGCCCAGGTTGACCGGCACGGCTGGTTCGTACTCGCGGGGGACCGCTAAGATCTGGGCGAAGGGGAGCAGGTCCACGCTGATCGGCAGCTCCTGGAAACCATAGATCGAGCTCATGGCGTCGCTGCTCTCCTCGATCGGGGTACGTCGCGTCCCTCCTGACCGAACACTCAGACGGCTAACCAGGAGGCCCACCAAGCTGCGCCGTGCCCTGGGCTCGTGCGAGCAAACAATCACCGGTAAACTGCAGCAAAGCGCCATGAAGTCGAAGGCCTCCGCAATCGTCACAAGGTAACCCGCAATGGAAAAAGGAGAATCGTCCGTTTGCAGTGGGTCACCTTGCTGCATGAAGCGCCAAGACGCCGGGAGTTCAGTGAAATCGGGTGCGTCCACGAAGCTCGGAAGCACCTGCACCAGCAAGCATCCCTCGTACATTTGAAGGTGTAAGTGCTCCAGCCCCGAGATCGCATGCTGAATGGACGCCACAGCCAGAGAGATGGGCCGATGGATTTCTGTGCCCGCCATGGCGCAGCAGACTACCACCTAAGATCATTTCGTCCCGTCACCTGGCCTGCGACGGATGTCGCCGCCTGAGCCCCGACGCATTCCAAAGCGGCTGCTCACGGTTGCTGCCTGGAAACGCGCCCGCTAACACCAAAGCGTTCCCTTTTGAACCCCGCGCCGTCCTCCAGTCACAGCGGGTGACCTGTAGAGACATGATGCACAGTGTGTTCACATTGTTTAAAAAAAGGGGGGGAGGTCTGGAGAACTGAGCCCGGCTTGTCCAGACCAGAACCACAGACCGTCATGAAAGACATGTCACCCCAAGTAGAAAGTTTGGTAGCCCTGTCGGCCACTGGCGTCCCAGTCGCGATGATGTGCAATTTGCTCCACCACGCTGGCAACTTGCTTAAACCACACCCTCACAGTCTCGTGTCCCGCCTCCTGCCAGCTATGGTGCAGCTCGATCACAACCAGATTGGCGCGCATGCCCACCGCCGCCATGAGAACCATATCTATGTCACTCGGGGTGAGCTGAAACTCGGGGTCAGCCGTCAAGTCGAAGTGACAGAGGTCGCCATAGCGAACGTTAATGTGCTGGTCAAGGCGTTTCCACACCAAAGGCAAGGCAGGGGCCACCATCGCAGGAGCAGGGCGGAGGCAAAGCGGCCGCGAGACACACAAGTGAAGGTGCTAGCGACGTATGTCGCCGCAAGTCTGAGCCCAAGTGGCATGCATGCAACCGGGGTAAGAGCAATGCGAGCGACGGACCGAGCAGGAAGCGGGCTTTTTGCTCGCGAGAGAA